ATGCCAAAGTGAAGTTTTGCTACTTCGTGTAAGCCTTGGTTGTAAATTCAGGTTACGCTGCAGCAGGTGACTTCAGGGTAACCCCTGTAGTATTTCTGGAAATGACAAGTGCATAAGAATTCAAACCCTTCAATAGACTGTTATGGTGTGTTACTGGAATGTTTCTCAGTGAGTCCTTCAGTGCGGACCTGTGTTCTCTGCGCGTTTTGTGAGTTGAGAGTGTTGTTCACCGCGTATGAGTGACTTCGATCCGAAGTAGGCAGTCCAAACCGGGTTTCCTACGCTAGCAGCAAGCTAGTGGAAGTGTTGTAAAAGCCGGAGTTGGGAGTCACTACCCGCAGCTTCGCTGAGTGTACTCTTGAGAGACCTTCCCCCTGAAATCTTGAGTAGAGGTCCTAACGGATCTCTGGGTTGTGTTTCTGTAGTTTCAAGTGTGTGTGTGTGTGTGTGTTACGCTGCACTGTGCGACCTCCGAGTGCGCTCCGAGTGGACACTTGCAGTATTTCTGGAAGTGACAGTCGCTTGAGAATTCAAACTCTTCAATGTCTGTTAAACGTGACACTTTGTACCCTGTGTGTTCCTCTGTCCATGTGGGTTCGACCTTTCTACCACTATATTGAAGTTTTAGCCTCTAGTGGGTTATTACATTTCATCATAATTAGTACATTCATTTAATTTTTGCTTGATGTATCAATTAGAGTAGAAAGTTAAGTTTATAGTTTGAAAATTAAAATTCTTGACATCATTCGCAAATTCATGTTATCAATGATTGTCAAATTCATTAACTATTAGGCTATTTGAGTCTCATTGAGTAATTAGATGTGGCAATAGATTATCAATTGTTAACAAACATATTCAATATAAGTATTCTATATCAAAATTGTAAAATCTTAAGAGTAGATTTATTCTTGATCTTGCATTTATTCTTCACACTCTCCATGCAAAATCTAAAAGCATATGTAATACTCCTTGTTGCAATTTGTCATGTGTATCACTCACGCTTTTATATAATTTGTAAATTTTATTCATCATTAAAGATTATGCATTATAAAGATTTTTTTAGGGTGGCAGTTAGTTATACCTCACTTAGGGATGATTAGTCCTCACTGAACTATACGCTCATCATTCAATGGTGACGCCGAGTTATATGTTCAGTGTGGTGAGTAATAAACTTCAAGGGTTTTACTTCCTTCCGATCTTCGTCAAAGATGCCTCCGTGTCTTTTGCCACGGAGGAACCATGTCTGCCACCTTCGCGTTCGAGGAGCCGAGCGTCTGATCCGAGTGGTGCTCGTGAAAAAAAGATGGACACGATTGAGCGGCACATCGGCGGAAAGTTGCTAGTGAATGCTTAGAGAAACGTCTGAAGTTCGATGCTATGGAGATGAGGTGGATCCGTTGATTGACAAGTGCAGTACTAAATCAGAAGGTTTTATAAGTTACTTGTTGCTTGAGACAATCATAAGGATGTCTGAGAATCATGTTAGTGTCGTGGATAAGAAGGATTTGACAAATGCTTCCGCCATAGCTCAAAGTGGACAAGTACTTTTTCTCCTTCCTAATTTTGTTTCACAACACGCAGTTGAACACGAATTGTATTGAGATTGCTAATCGTCGTACCATAATCTAATTCTCTAACAAAGCAATCTTTTAGATCTCAGGATTACCGTTTATAGCTCTCTCACTCATCAGGCAAGGTTTTGTCATGCACAATGTATCGCTTGTTTTGTGGTTGTTTTGAAAAGTATGAGTGGGTAGGATGAGTCTCGTTTGTAGATTGTCAGCATTAAGAGATACATCCAAAATTTATGGGCTCCATTGCGAGGATATTACAAGTTTGGCGTTCTGATCATCGTGGGCATCATAATTTGACTGTTGATCAGGCTTCCAAAAAAGCACTGTACCGCAAAGTTTATTACTCACCATCATAGCCCAACATTGAATGCCCATATCCTTGTCCATGCTCAAACCCACCCATGCCCATGGGTTTTGGGTGGCCATGAGAACAATATTATTGTTCATGGGTGGGATTGTTTCTAGGTGGATATGGATGGGCATAACTTCCAAATGGGTAGGAAACCCATGCTCATGAGTACTGCTTGAAACTTGAACTCTAACCTGTATGTTTGTCATGTAGTAGCTGTCTCTTGTGTGTTTTAACGCATTGACATGAACTCTCGGAGTGTGAAAAGAGTGCCCATTGCGCAAACTAGATCGTTCCAGGCTTGCTCAACAAGCCTACACTGAGCTCAGTATTGCCAGTGAATCGAGATACCATTGCTAAGTTGAGTATTCTTTTGTGATGGAAGTTGAAAGGAGCTTCCACATTCTCCATCATGTAGGACGTGGCGCGTTCGGTTTTGTGCATCCTTGCATCCAGCTCCAAATCGGAGTCGAACTTCTCGGATGCAGGGAATACACTAACCAAGAAGCACTCCGTGCTGAAACCAGTGACACTAAACGACCTTTTGTTTGTCCGATCCAACCAAGACTTGATGTAGGTGCCACCTACACCAAGAGGTATTTTGAGTTTTGTATTAGCACAAGAGGTTTAATTTAAGCCTTATCATGAAGTTTTTTTTAAATTGCGTTGACTTAGAGAAGTTAAAGCTGCATAAACAATCATGTCACACTTTATGATGGAATTTGATTTAAATGTTTGAGCATTGACATGTTTGACATCAAGATTTAGATCTAAAACATGGGTATGGGCTCACAATAATAAATAAATCTGTATTTTTTGTGAGTCCTTGTGATATATGCATAGTATTCTCTTTATGGATGATTTAAAATTGTGCATCCTCGTTGTGACATGTGGTATCATGCGTGAAATTTTGACTTTTGAAGACAGTGAGCAAGATGATGGTATCCACACGTAAGCAGTTTTCTCGCGTGGTTAAGTATCAAAGAATTTGCTCCCCTTAATGTCAACGTGCAAATATATCTTGCATAGTTGGATGTCTACTGGGTGTAGTATGGAGATGATAATGTGTATGACTTGCAATTAGTGGAATTCACAACGTGGCGGAAGTTGATGATATTAAACCGAGGTTTGTATGAGCAATGCTGATACCCACCTCCTAGGTGGGTAATACATGGGCGCAATTTGAATAGAATGGGTGGGCACAGGTCATGCTATGGATGGGCATGGGTGCGCAAAGGTCGTTGCTGATGGTTATGATCTGGATATGAGTACAAATTTGAAAGAAAATGTCAAGCTCTGCTCAACATACGGAACCTATAATCGGCGCCACCAATGAATGACCAGCATATAGTAGGATGAGAGTTAATTAGCTCTAAGTGAGGTATAACTAGCAACTACATTTTTCTAATTAATTAATTGACATTATGAATTACAATTGCAATATAGAGGTTCTTTTTATAATTTTTTTTATCAAAATTGAAATTTAGAGTTACTTGTATTATAAAAGAGTCGACACATAACAGATATAAATGATATAGAGATAATTTGTTAAGTAACTTTCAAAGAAAAGTTACCCTTAACTATTCTATCTTAATTATTCATTCTAAATATGTCTTGTTTAAAAAAAAAATTAGTACAAATTCTAGATTTCATAAATATGTAAAACTATAGTAGTATTTTTTCCAAATTGCTATAAGTTGCTGCACTCAACATTTGTCGTATAGTACTACAACCGAAGATAATCCTATTGAATGGATAGTTCATACCACATCAGATCAGATCATCTATAATCTATCTATCCAGTTAGTGTGTATATTACGCGCATGATTGATGAGATTTTACCTCGAAAGTCCTCGGACGTTGATCAATTTATTCTGTACACTACTCAATGCCTTCAATCTCGAAGGCATACACATTTGTACAAACTCGGGGACCAAGCAGTTTACATCTATACAGTGAGCTGGAAACGAACCATGGATGGCATATTTAAAGAAAAGATAAAGGGGTCATGGGAGAGTCGTATTACTATTAATATCATATCGAGATCGACCGATGCCGCAGAAAGAAAAGCAGAAGAGTTAGTGCGAGATCCAATCGTGGAGCAACATTCGACTGAACGATCCCGAAAAGCGGAAAGTCAACCGCGACAAGACGGTGACTATGTGTGGAGGGGGTTTCGATCTCGTGTGGAGGTTTAGTTGGGCGGGTTTGGTTTGGTCACCGTGAGCCGAGGGTAGATATACTGAACAAGAGGGGGCGACCATAAATCCATTGACGAGGGAGGGAAGTATTATGATATTCCCCTGAGCGAGTGAGTCCGTTTCCCATCGACGACGATGACTCCATCTCTTGCGCTACGCTCCAAACGGAGAAAAATCACGGGCCTTTGAACCCTAAATCGCAGGGCGCTAGTGGACAAGGCTGACAAACGGAGCAGGGGGACTAAGATTCGCCTCCAGCGCGGAAAGGCGGCAGAATTAGAGGCATCGAAGGAAGGAGGAAGGGGGATCCAGGAATTGATGAGAGCGAACAGAGTAGAGTAGAACAGAACAGAACTGTGTATACGCCGGGAGGCAGAGTTAATGAGGGGACGCAGAGTGCATGAATCTATCGGATCATCATGATGATGGCAGTGATGCAGTGGGAGGGAGGGAGGGCTCTAGCTCTAGCACGGGAGTAGAAAGCGGGGTCGCGAGACTGAGCGAAGGTTTGTTTAATGCCTTGTTTGGTTCCCTCTCCCGAGTCTCGGCTCTGCTTCTGCTGCTGCTGCTGCTCCCGCCAAGGCTCGCGAGTTCCGAGCGAATGAATGGTCGAAGACCGGATCCGACCAATCGAAGCTGGGATCCACACGGTAGATGCCGCTGCTGCTGCTATCCATCAATCAGTCGGGAAGAGCAGCAGGAGCAGGAGCTAGGAGTTTAGGCAGAGAGAGAGAGAGAGGTAGGCCTCGGGTTGTCGTTGTTGGTTAGGGGGCACGGGGGGGTGCGTTGAAAGTGCACAATGTCGACATACGGCGAGCGCAGAGAGTTTGTTTTGTCTACGCGGGCTATATTTGGACTGTCACACACGTCAAACGAGCGAAATTAGCGAGAGCCCGTGGTTGTAGCAGGAGCAGGAGCAGGGGGCGAGCAGCAGCAGCAGCAGCAGGGGATGGATTGATGAGAGCGAAGCGTGCACTCTTCGTTCATGTGCCGGGGCGTTTACTTTTGGACTGGGCTGGCCTTGTTCTGTCTCTGTGCGTGTCCGTCCTGCCTGCGATGCGATGGGGTCGATATGCTTCGCTCTGTGCAGCACAGGGGAGGACATTTTTAGGTTTGTGACTCTCTAGGGCGCACGGCACGAGGACTGAGACGAGTGACCGACTGCCGCGGAAGAAGAAGAAGAAGAAGAAGAAGAAGAAGCTGTTGTTGTGCTTGTGGATGATGGATTTGGTGTTTTAGGTAGTCGTGAGTGAGGGAAAGTGAAGGTTGAGGTTGGACTTAGAGTCGAAGGTGCATCGACATAGTTGGACTTAGAGAGAGTCGAAGGTGCATCGACATCGAAGTAAGGGAGGAAGAGGGTGAAGCACGGGCTCCATTCAGGGAGTTGGCTGGCGAGGAGGGCGGTGAATTTGGGTTGGCGGTGCTTCGCTCGCAGTAGTCGGAAGGGGATTCGAGATTCGGAGGTGAGATTTCAGGGCGGTGCTGTCAGGTTGATGCGGGTCGAAGTGATAGCAGGGAAGCAGAGCAAAAGGAGGAGGGCTATGGCGAAGGAGTGAATATGGCACACGGGCATGAGACAGGGCTAGCTTGGGAATGGGACAGTGTATTGCTCCTGGCCAACCCCTCCCTCACTTCGCATTCTCTTGAAGGCGATGGAAGTACAAGCTGCGGGTTGCCGGGGTCATCCGCAGCAGATCAGAACCACGAGCACGATAATCATTGTCACGAGCACAATCATGAGCACAATCATGATAAGTTTCACGCACATGAGACCTCATCCGCCGACCATGTGCAGACGGACTCCATATCCTCGGGTTCTCAGCAGATGGGAGTGAACACGGATTGGAGAGATCCAAGGCTGGATTGCCCGAATTTTTTGGCCGGTAGAGTTCCCTGTGCGTGCACGGACAATGATGACGATGACAGTGGCGTGAGCCGGAAACGATCGAAGCCCGTGCCTCGGTGTCAGGTTCAATCGTGTGGTGCCGAACTTACAAATTTGAAGGGATATCATCAGCGTCATCGAGTGTGTCTGCGGTGTGCTCATGCGACCCGTGTAGTACTGCGAAATCAGCCCCACCGATACTGTCAGCAATGTGGCAAGTCAGTATTTTCCCACAACCGAGCTTCTCTTCCCCTCAGACTTGTGATTCTCCCTCGGACGGCGGGGACGTTAGTCTAGATTCCCTGGCGAAAGAAATTTCATTTTCCAGAAGGATGTGGCCATTTCAAGATAATTTCTAATGTGAGCAGCGAGCTGTATTCATGCTTTTAACGGTGACGCACCGTCCAGTCAAGTGGTGATATTGCAGCTCGAGAATGATTAGCAGGCCCACATTGCGGACTAGAATAAAATTGCTTCACCACCATTGTTAAGTGGGAGTGAATGTCTCTCAATGGCAGTGAGCTGGCAAGTGTTACATTATTGTTCTAAAAGCATTGTGTCGCGGTAATCTTCCGGACTCCAGGAGTGGTCTTATACCAGTCCTAATTTCCGTAAGATTATCGCTTGTTGCCGTCGGGGCTCCTCTAATAAGCCTCTATGAAATGTTTCTCAGGTTTCATCCCATCTGTGACTTCGATGAGGGAAAGAGAAGCTGCAGAAGGAAACTGGAGAGGCACAACAACCGGCGCAGGAGGAAGGCGCTGGAGTCAGAGGATACTCTACCACCCCTGGACAGCGGGGACATAGAACCACGATCTGACAGCAGCCCAGCGGATGGTAAGTGTGCTTCTAGTTGGCCGGGAATTTTTCATGGATGGAGTGGTGTTACTAAAGTCGGATGTACAAGGATGGAAATTCACCTTTGGATGGAGCTATTCGGGGCAAAATCTAATGCCTTCTTGTTCCTTTTGAGAGTGCCGATGTATGCACTGTTGTTGGGAGTTTCAAGAGCGTGTAGCGACTTCTTTCCTTATCCTTACAGGCTTTCCTATGTCGGTTTTTCTCCTTCCATGGAGCATGGTTCATTCTATTACGCGTGGAATGTGCTCATAACATCAATTCTTCTTGAAGAAGGATTTGCATATACCTCCTCCATGTTACGAGGTGCTGGATAAGCGGTCAAATGTTAACTGGTCACTAGCTCATGACAGGGAGGAAGGCGTTATGTTAGTGCTCATTTGACGTGTGGTGATTAGTTTTGCGGTCTTTCAAATAACTGACTGCATTTTATCTCTCTTTTCAGATGCAATGAACACTACTAAGCCTATCCTTTTCCTTGAAGGAGAAGACAAGGCTTCAAGTGGAGGCGGAGTAGGTTTTGATTCAGAAATGGCTCAGCCATCCGCTGTCGTAACTCCTAATGGCAAGTTCATTGCATCCAAAGAAGCGGATGAGGCAGTCATTGCAACGGTGGGAACTGATGTCGAGATGTCTTTGCAACCATTAGCCCCACCTGTGGATAAAATCGTCGAGGGTAAGAATCTCCTTTGGGTGCATGTTTCATACAACGATTCAGTACGTTTTCATTTTGAAAGCTTGAAGTAGATGTCGGTCTGAGAAGTGACTCTGTTTGTAAGTTGTGCAGAGATTTTCCCCACGTCTGAACCTTCAACGAAGAGTCCAGAACTCGTGCATAGTCCGGAGGTGCAACATGTCCACAAGAAAGATTGCCTTCCACATCCCGAGCATGTTCCTATCAGCAGGGACAGTCATTTGAGCAATACCCAGACTATGAGTACCAACGACATGTCATCGCACCACATCTCCCCTCGAGATCCACAAGAAGCTGAACGCTTAGTCAGAGGGCACGATGAAGAATCGTTGTTAGCACTGCTCATGGAGGATAACTCTGCCACAGAAGGCTCGGGTTTGTCCCAAAATGGAAGTGTTGAGGTCAGTGAGGCACTTCTCTGGGATTCTTCTCCACCTCCAATCAGACCCAGTAAACAAGCAACCTACTCTTCTCCAGTAAGTCCTTGAAACCTTACATAAGTTTCCTAATTATCATTAGTGACATGGATCGAGCAAGTGGTGATATCCCCAGTGCTTGGTGACTTTGTGATAAAATGGATGTCAATTTTGGTAATTTTAAGCACGACGAAGCAGCTGATTTGCAGGGAGATGTGTCAAACTTGTGTGGGATCTGAATACTCATGTTATCATGTGCAGAATCCAACTGGTCGTATTTCATTCAAGCTTTACGATTGGAATCCTGGTGACTTTCCTCGGCAGTTACGCCAGCAGGTAGATGCAGCTCATATACGAAGTTTTGGAACGGCATGACTATCTGTTTGAGTTTTGTGCTTGTGAGTTGTGAAAAGAGTTAAGAGCGCTTCTCGTAATTTCTTTCTGCAGAGATAAACGTCTTTTTCAGAACTTGTTTCCTTGTGTGAACCACATTTGTTCTAGTTTGCAGAATATGCCATCTGATTTGTGTACTGACATATGTACGGATTATTTCCCAGGTTATGCAGTGGCTGTCACAAATGCCAGTTGATCTGGAGGGCTACATACGGTCGGGATGCACCATTCTTACTCTATTCGTCTCCATGCCTCAGCCAATGTGGGAGAAAGTGAGTATTTATCACTATTCGGATTTATGGTTACAATAGCCCAAATTCATTAAAAAAATAGTGTTTGCCTGCAGATACAAGTACTGTAAAGGTTTTTACACTTATTGTTTATCCTGTGCCTATTTTTCATGAACTTGTTTTGCTGGGTCATCGGTATAGAGTTTTGTCCCTCTTTTCTTGTAGCCAATGTGAATGTCTTTATTTCGTAGCTAATGTGAATGTGCTCATTACGTTGTATTCATCATTTGGTTGATTCTGGTAGCTGAATGCAGATTGGACCGAGTCCGTTCTTCGTCTTGTGAGAGGACAATGTGGTACTTTCAAATTTTGGAATTCTGGATACTTGATTGCCAGAGTGGGTCAGCAAATTGTGCATGTTGAGAATGGTACGGATGCTGATCCATCTTTGCTTTGTTACGTAGTTTCTTCATCTCTGATATGATCTAGCTCGTCGTCACGATGCAGTCTTGAAAAGTGACCTGATTTTGTATGATGAAAAAGCATGATTTATTATGAAGCTACCGGAGTAACTAGTTGGACTTCATGATGTTTTTTAAATTGACGGCGTTTTCTACCCCATAGTCAATGCATGTATGATGTTCCTTCGATCTGGAATTCTCTACTTACTTGCATTTTTCATGTACTCTAGGTAAAGCGGTACATCCTCTTTGTGGAAGAAGTGACCAAGGTCCAATGCTGGAAGGAGTCTACCCGAGTTGTCTTGAGGCAGGAGTCGAGCAAGTTGTTGTGATCTCAGGAAGCAACCTTCAGCAATCCGAATCAAGGTATGATGAAGGCTGTTGATTTCTTTTGACCCGCCGTTTTTTTTAGTATATTCAGCTGTAATGGATCAATGTTCCACAAGATTGAGGTGTTAGTTAGCGTCCTGTGTTGTCGGTGGCTTTTTAAGGTCCATGTGCTGGAAGGCATTTCATCTTATGACCAAACCGACCGAGTTATGAAGAAAACTTCACCTGACAATCCAGTTTTCCAGCTTTGGTCTGTATTTTGATTTCTTGTGAGAAGGTCAAATTCTCAAGTTTCCCTGAGAAGCTCTCCACTCCAAAAGTTCTGATTTTTCCCAGCCCTGCCGTGAATGCCGCTTGGTATTTCGCTCAAAATTGCAGAGTCATCTTTGTCATACATAGCTTCGGTAGGCATCCATGAAGCTTTTCTGATCAGTTGAATATATTGCAGACTTTTAGTTTCTTTTGATGGCTCGTATATCAAGAACGAGGTGTCAAGTCCTGGCATGGATAAAGAAAAGGCAGATAGCAGCAGTTTGCTTCAGGCGACCTTTCCTGCTCTTCACTCCCAAAAGTATGGGACAGCTTTTATTGAGGTTAGTAGTCGGTTTGTAGTGCTTTTGATCGGAAGTATAGATCAGGAAGTCAGTCTTGCCAAAAGAGAATCTGAACGGTATTCATGATATGATTCAACTTCGTAGGTAATTTGTATATATCAAAGTCAGCTTAATGGATCGTATTGAGATGAAAATGCTGAAAGGGTTGTTGGCTTTGTTTTTGGTAGGAATGTGGTTTAGGCTGTTGTATTTTCATTGGGTTCCAACCACATGTGTCCTCATGATGTAAAAGTTTCCGTATTATGTAGAACGGGCCTAATGTGTACTTGGTCACAATCACATGTGTCCAGTCTGATGTGATCTTTTTGTCTGCAGGTAGAGCACACCACAGGGATTAGCAACTTTATTCCCTTACTTGTCGCTGAGAAGAAAATCGTCGATGAAGTCAGAACCCTTGAACTGGAGATAGACACTGCCACTACTTCTTGTTGCTCTTCTCAGAGTCACGACTCAAGATTTCAGCCTCTGAATCAGAAGAGGTATCATGACCTGCTCGTGGATCTAGGATGGGTTTTACGGAATTATACTCTCAATAATTTCAATCCACACCATCAGTCTCTGGGTCAGGATGTCGAACGGCTGCAAGGGCTCCTGTTATTTGGTGTCAGGAGAGGATGGTACACCACAGTCCAAAGAGTATTGCAGGTTGCGAAGAGATCAGGTGTGATCGAGAGGATTGGTTTCTTGAAGAATGGCATGACTGCTTTACATGTTGCCCTTCTACATCAGCAGTTTGCAATGATGGATCACCTTACCTCTCTGATGGCGTCACTGGCTTGCGCGGGCTCGTGTGCTAGTAACTCCTGGTGGGATGTCGACTGTCCTGTATCAAGAGGATTGACAGCGCGGCAAGTATTAACCCTGCAAGCGAAGAGGATGCATTATGGTTCTGCAAAGCCGGAGGTAATTTTATTTTCCATCAACTTATTTGCTGAAAGGTTATCTGTATCAGAGTATCCTATCAAATTACAAGTTTCTTCGTTTAGTTTGATTTATATATCGGCTGTAAGTTGTCTATACCGCTTGTCATATCAGCTGATGAGATGAAGATGGAGGTGGCTTTTGTGAAAACTGGATCAATATTATCTGCCTTTTAGGCAGAGTATATATTATTTAAGTCATTTCGACATGAATAATCTTCTAAAGGCTCTCACCAGCCTCTGGTTTGAAGTTTCTGGTGAGCGTACTGTACGATCTGAGACGCTCTTTTACTGCCACACTTTCAGGGGAGGAAGCTTTTCGGGAAAAGCCTAGCATATGAGATTCGCCATGTTTCACAACCCAACGTTAACCCTGACGAACGGAGGTTTAGCAAGGGCTGCAACTCCAAAGCTGATATTTGTCCAAAGAACTTGGGTTATCGACTTCTCTCGAAGGAAAGCCCTGATTACCATGAGGTGGACGTTCTCTGCTCAACAGAGGAAGAAGAAGCTAGGTTCTTCTTTCCTAGTGTAGACCATTCCCGGGGAAAGATCTCTACGTGGAATTCATTATTGAGAAGGGACGATGTTGACACACAGGTAAAATCCCTTGTACCATATGGGAGATCTAGATGTTCGGTGGAAGGTTTGACCATGTACATTAGTAGAGCTAGCACAAGGAGGCCCGTATACGCGAGTACTGTGGGTGTCCTACTTGTCTGTGCCGGACTTTGCGTGATGCTGCAACATCCGAATGAGGTCATTGAGCTCTCTTTGTCTTTACGGCGGTGTCTATGGGGCCTTCAGAATGGGCCTGTGTGATCTATTATATAGCAGTCAGAGACTGTATTGGGGATTATTGCAACATGTTTACGTTGTATATGTTTGGAAGCCAGCTGATGACGATCTACACACGGAAGAAAACAATTGTTGTTGTAGTTCGACCCGTCGTGTACCAAAGATAGCTCTAATTAATTTTTCTTTTTTGACGGTGAGGATTCAGTTGGTACTACTCCTTTGTGGAGTTCTGCCTACTTATATTAGAATCACAAGAACTGCAGTCACCATTGAAACCCCTTGAGGTAAATAACCTTCATGGGTTCTTCCTGTATTTGTCATGTTACTGTCTTCACGCTCCTGACCAATAGATTGCGGAAGCGATGGATCGGTGCAAGTTATCCACATCGAAAGCTCACTTCGCGTTCACCTGTTCAGACTTCTCGCGTACTTATGTTTGTTTTTAAGTAGCGAATGGCTGCTTGACTGTTTGTCATGCAATGATCGTTTATATTTTCTCCAACCATGAACCGGCGCACCGCATACATTGCCTCTCACAGAAGTAAGGTTATCATTTTTACGATATGCTTCATAGTTATTTTGTGGACTGGATTACAGGTAGAGTATGTAAATCATGCCAGTGGTACATCAGTTCATCCGCAAGCTTGTGGATAACCTGGAACTGCGTTCCAGTTATGAGAATCAGGGGGACCCAATGAGCGGTCGAAAAAATGCTCCCCCTGAGACTTCCAGTATTTCAAACCACTGTGACGGGCCGAAGCACGAAGAAGTCACTACCGAGCGCGATAGCATTCAATTGGCTCTGGGAGTTTCTCCGTTCAGAGTGCGAATCTTATAGGTATTGAGTCTGAAATGTCAGAACCAGCTGAAAGTTTTTGGAATTCGAGTGAATTAGAGTAGCCTTCAATAAGGCCACTCTGAATTCACAGTACATTTGCCGTTATTGTCGAACGGCGGAGGAGTGTCTATTAACGTTTTTACTCTTAGAACATGGTCGTGTCTCATAAACTTACTTGTAGTTTGCCGGGGAATTTTTTTGCTCTCGAATTAATCCTCTAACACGAAAGAAATCTCTGTAGTTCGGTCTAATACCGGCGTAGACATTGATGTGTAGTGATGCTGGGGATCTACGTGTGTGGAAGGCCATCTGTACTTCGAAAGTTACCCAAGTGAGATGGGTGTAGATTCAATACAAGTTCTTCGTCTACTTCCAAAGGTGGTAACGAAAATTTAACTGCTTCGAAGTGTGGATGTTAGACGACAGGTCAGACGGTAGGGACAACCAGCGTGAACGCTGTTCACTGTCTGAATTCTAAAATTCTGAATTATAAAGATTCTTGTCGGAGGAACATTTATTCCGTTACAGAAACATCCATTGTTAAATAAACATCTATTCCGATAAATTCCGTTAGCTCCGTTCAGCTATTCCCTCGTAATTTTGCCACCATGTCAGTCTTCCGACATCAAACCTGACTGCTCCTTGACTGACAATTTAAAGCGTCCGAAATTCCTCGTCGAAACGCTATACTAAGCTCTTAACCAAAAGGTCTTAGCAGTATATCTTACCATCACAGATTGGCGCATCCAGGTTTCATTTACTTGTGATGGTCACTTCAGTTTATGAATGGCAGTTATAATCATTTAGAGGTTTCTGACCGCACTTGCGAAATCCGAGAGTTGCGTATAGCATACATATCACAGTTTACGTCTTGATGGATTCTTCCCATGCTTTTCGAGAGTTACTAATTTAACACTTATCTCTGCACACATATTCAGTCGCAAAATCGACGAATGAGAATGATCCGTCTTGATTTATTCACCAAAGATTTGTGAAATAATATACGAATAACATAGAAATAGATTTTCTCCAAGTGTTTATACATGAAAATTTAATGAGCTATTAATTCAAGTGTTGAACAATTGAAAATACTGATAACTTGAAAATCAAACATTGAGTTTGTGGATCAAAACTTTGATAAATCCAAAATTTTACCACTAATTTGTAATGATTGTGCACATATTACTTGTTGAAGTTAGTGCCTTGAATTCGGCAAAGTCAACAAATTGTGTTGAAAGTTTGAATAGTCAAAGCGGTGGAAGGCATGTCATATTTTTGGAAGTAAAATGTGAGGCGGCCTGGAAGGCATGTCATATTTTTGGAAGTAAATTGTGAGGCGGCCTGTCTTCAACGATGTTTTTGGAAACTTATGGTCTGCTAGGGTTTACTAGCTATATAAGGAACCTGCAGGATTCATAATCATTCATGCTCTTCATTGTAATCTTTTTCTCTCAAGGAATAAAGTCTACTCTTTGTCCGTGGATGTAGTTAGCACAAATTGTGCTAGCGAACCACATAAACTTCTGTGTTTCGTCTTTCGTTCATTATCGTGAGGTAGAGTCAAGCACGTAATATCATAACAAATTGGTATCAGAGTGGTGGAGACACGCGACTAGGGCTGTGGATCTACCAAGAACGATGTCTGGAACAATGTTGAAGATTGAGAAGTTCACTGAAGGGTATAGCTTCAGTTTGTGGAAGATCAAGATGGAGTCCTTGTTGAAATCACAAGGCATATGGGCACCTCTGATCAGAGATAAGGGAGCCATGGATGTTGCATCATCGGAGTACAAGTTGATGGAGGAGAAGGCACACTCAAACATCATATTGTGCATATCAGATGACGTGATTATGGAGGTCGCAGGAGAGAAGACGGCAGTTGCGTTATGGCTCAAGCTAGAGAATCTCTACATGACGAAGTCACTCACCAGCAAGCTGATGAGTGACTTCGTCATGTAAAGACTCTCTAGCTTTACTAGATGTTAAAGCAACGGTTATTCAGTCTGCGGATGAATGAAGGAACAACCCTCAAAGACCACCTTGATCGATTGAATTCAATTATTCTTGACTTGCGTAACATCGACGAGAAGGTGAATGATGAGGATGTTGCACTACTTATATTGATCTCATTACCTTCATCATACGAGAACTTCGTTCAACACTTCATTGTTAACAAGGACAGCATATCACTTGAAGAGGTGAGATCCGCTCTTCATGCTAGAGAGATACGTCAGAAGGGCACAAGCACGGAGTACCATGCTTCCGGACTGATGGCGAACAAAGGAAGCAAGAATAAGAAGAACAAGAAAAAGCAGTTTTCTGGTTCTATATTACCTAAGGATGTATGCGCTTGGTGCAAGGAAAAGGGCCACGGCAAAAGAGATTGCCCGAAACAAGGACAACAAGGACAAAACGGATCAGCCGCCATGGTAGAAAAGGGTAGTTCGTCTGAGGACGATTATGTTCTATCGATGAATGATGTCACACACCAGTCGGATGTGTGGGTTCTTGATTGTAGAGCATCTTATCACATCTGCTCTAACAAGTAGTTGTTCTCAAGCTATTACCAAACATATGAAGGTTCCGTTCACATGGCGAATGAAGTTGTTTGCAAGATAATAGGAAGCGGCTCATTTAGATTCAAGAACCATGATGGAAAGACATGTACTTTAAACGAGGTTGGACACGTACCACGCATCACAATGAATATGATCTCTCTAAGTGTACTTGACCAGAAGGGTTTTAGCTTCAAAGGTGAAGGTGGAGATCTATGCGTGTACAAGGGTTCGAAGGTACTGCTCAAGGAAATCAAGGATAAGACTTTGTATGTATTGCAAGGTTCGGCGATCACAGGGTCAGTTGGAGTTGTCTTAGCCGAGATTCAAGAAGCTGATCAAACAAGGCTATGGCATATGAGGCTCGACCATATGAGTGAACGTGGAATGTGGAACTTCACAAGAAATTCTATCTCGTCGGGCACACGCCCAAGAGCCTAGGTTTTTGTGAGCACTGCGTGATTGGTAAGCTACAGCGTAGCAAGTTCCCAAAGGCGGTTCATAGAACAAAAGACATTTTAGATTACATCCATATTGATTGTTGGGGTCCATCTCGAGTTGAGTCGATTGACGGTCACATATACTTTCTGAGCATTATTGACGACTATTCAAGGATGACTTGGATATTTTTGATGAAGCACAAGAGTGATGCATTTGGGAAATTCAAGGAGTGGAAGACACTAGTGGAGAATCAGACGGAAAAGAAGGTGAAGAGGCTGCACACGTACAACGGCTTGAAGTTTTGTTCATCGGAGTTCGATGAATTCTACAAGGATCAGGGAATAGCTCGCCATCACACTGTTCGAGGTACACCACATCAGAATGGTGTAGCGGAACAGATGAATCAAACACTTCTATCGAAGGCACGATGTATGCTTTCGAATGCAAGTCTTGCTAGGCGTTTTCGGGAAGATGCAGTTTCTATGGCTTGCTATCTTGTAAATCGGAGTCCTCATACTGGCATTGTATGCAAGATACTCATTGAGGTATGGTCCAAAAAGGCAGCAGATTACTCAAATCTGAGGGTTTCTTGTTGTGTTGCCTATTATCATGTGGATGATGGCAAACTAGAACCGAGGGCAAAGAAGGGGTGTTCATGGGTTATGGAACAGGTGTGAATAGTTATAAGATTTGGTCGGATGGGAAGATTATACTAAGCAGAAATGTAGTCTTCGATGAGAGTTTGATGTTGAAATCTAATACCGTGGAGATAGAGGTTGGAGCTGAAAAGAAGAAGGTGGAGGCAAATTCAGAATTGAGTGATACTAAAGATTCTGAAGCGCCTGATCTATCACCGCGAGAAATGGAAGAGCAAGAATCTGAAGAGTTTGAAGAGGATATACCACCAGAGTAGTTGATACACGAGATTCTTGATGCACGTCGCACACGGAGGGATAAGACGTTGCTTACAAGACTAGAGAAAGACTACTTGGTGAGATATGTCTTGCAAGTAGCCGAAGAGGTGGAAGATGAGCCGTTTACCTATCGGGCTGCAATTATTGGTTCCGAGTCAACACAATAGATTGCCGCTATGGAAGAAGAGATGGAATCTCTTAGCAAAACCTCAACATGGGAGCTTGTATGATTGCCACTAGGGAGAAAGATAATCACTTGCAAGTGGGTTTTTAGAAGAACGGAAGGAATCACTACAGTGGAAGACGTCAAGTATAAAGCAAGAGTAGTTGCAAGAGAATTAAGTCAAAGAAAGAAAGTTGACTACAATCAGATGATCTCACCGATGATCATACATACTTCAATCAGGGTGCTACTAGCAATGGTTGCACACCAGGTGTTAGAGCTCAAACAACTAGATGTGAAGACAACTTTTCTACATGGAGAGCTGGAGGAGGAGATATATATGAACCAACCGGAGGGGTTTCAAGTTCGTGGAAAAGAAGACTACGTGTGCAAGTTGAAGAGTTCCTTGTATGGACTAAAGTAGTCTCTGAGGCAATGGTACAAAAAATTCGATAGCTTCATGCTGAAGATAGGCTATTGGAAGTGTGAGTATGATTGTTGTGTGT